TAGAGTCCAATAGGCTCAGGAACCTGTACACCTGTTGATGGACAGTTGAGAGGCGGGACCAAAGAGCCAGAGCTCAATATATATATATATATATATATATATATATATATATATATATATATATATATATATATATATATATATATATATATATATATATAATCAATTATTAATCAATTATTATATAATAGAATTATTAATCTTACTTTTTCGGTCATATTTAATAATATATGTCTACAGGAAAGACTGCTACCAAAATATACTAATATATATATATATATATACTAATATATATATATATATTAGTATATATACTATATATACTAAATATACTAATATATATATATATATATATATTAGTATATTTTGGTAGCAGTCTTTCCTGTAGACATATATTATTAAATATGACCGAAAAAGTAAGATTAATAATTCTAACACGAATTTTCTCTATCTTACGTTTCTTTTCACTGTTGATGGTAATTCAAAGATCAATTCTCCAAAATTCATTTTTATTTCTAGTCTGACGCGACACTTGAGCGCGTTTCGTAAAACTTATTACATTTTCAAAGACTTTAGTTTACAAACACACAACTGAAACTGAATAGAGCTTGCACATCTTCGAGTTTATATCTACATTTGGGGGGGGGGGTATATCACAGTGGCTCCGTGGATGTGTGCCCATGATAATTGACCAGTTCTGAGCTGATTCCCCAAACAGTATGAAGGTGAGCCACTTTGTCCATAGTTAAGATCAGTAAAGTGTGACTCTCCAGGGCGTGCTCCTGGGGGAGCACTTGGGGACTGTAAGCCTCAAAAAACCCAGTATATAGGCAAGACAACAACATCTCTTTCCAGGCGTTTAACGACGCATAAGCAACAGGGGCTCCATTAAGGAACATATAATCTCTTCCCACAAACAAACCATCACCAGAGAAATCTTAGCAAACAACACAGAAATCATCGATAGATACAGCGATAGCAGGCGGCTAGACGTCTGCGAGGCACTACACATCAAGAAGTCAACACCATCAATCAACAGCCAATTAATGCACAACTATATTCTACCCACTTCAAGACTCCGCTCCAATATAGAAGCATCAAGAAATATGGACCAATAGGCTTTCTACAATTACTTCCATTTAATACCCATTGTTTCGTGTTCTGTCTTGTGTTTGAATTTAATACCCATTGTTGAAAGTTTGTTTTCACCTCATCCACCTCACCCAAATGTAGATATAAACTCGAAGATGTGCAAGCTCTATTCAGTTTCAGTTGTGTGTTTGTAAACTAAAGTCTTTGAAAATGTAATAAGTTTTACGAAACGCGCTCAAGTGTCGCGTCAGACTAGAAATAAAAATGAATTTTGGAGAATTGATCTTTGAATTACCATCAACAGTGAAAAGAAACGTAAGAAAGATAGAGAAAATTCGTGTTAGAATTATTAATCTTACTTTTTCGGTCATATTTAATAATATATGTCTACAGGAAAGACTGCTACCAAAATATACTAATATTAAAACGCACGACCCAGCAGCAAAGAATCAAGCTTTCACGATAAAATATCGCCAAGATCTGATTCGTGATCAGATATACAAGGCAGAAAATGAAATCAAAGACAACAAAGCGCAACTACTTCATGCTACAAACGAATGGAGAAACAGCAACATCGACGAAAGTCTCCGTACCTGCATTGAACAACACCTCGACATCCTCACAGACCGACATCACCTCAGCACTGAAACAAGGATAATCAAGAAACTAACAACGTTATATGGAGGATCTATGGCAATTCCACGACCAAGAGATGGCTTCCTGAACCTTGCAGGAATCAACCTCACTGAGGACCAAGTCACTCTCCTAAATCTGGGCATAAACTGTCACGTTATGTCCAGACCGAGTGAGATGGCCCGGAAAGTGGAGTTGGAGATTCTGTTGGACGACATATTCGACCTCGAAGCACAAAAGAAGGTCACCACCAAAGATACCTTACAAGCAGAACTTATTGCGGAAGGAGGAAAGAATCGAAGCAACTACAGAAGCACCATACTGTCCCCCGAGCTCAAAGCGGCAGCTAAGAGCCTTCGTGAGAACAAGGAGATAGTTGTCAGAAGAGGCGACAAGTCGCCAATATACGTCATTCTTAAAAAAGACGAATATCTGGCGAAAATGAACCTCATACTCTCTGACCAAACTAAATTCCAAAGGGTAACGAAGGACACTACAGCCGAACTGAAAGCAAAGGTCAACAAATTGATCGAAACTGTGAACGCCAAGAAATCTGGACTCCACCTGCCAAAGATTATTGGGGAATATAAACCTGGATATGCGTATGGAAATGTCAAGACACACAAGCCTGGAAACCCACTTCGGCCAATCATCAGCCAGATACCCACACCCACGTACAGACTGGCGAAACGACTCAACGGCCTGCTGACTCCTTATGTCCCTCGCGCCTTCAGCCTGAAGTCTCCAAAGTAATTTGTTGACTTGCTGCGGGGAACACGGGCCAAAGGGATACGAGCCTTGTTGGACGTAGAATCTCTGTTTACCAACGTACCTGTGGATGAAACAATCGGGATGATAGCCGACAGAGTGTACCGTGATTCGGCCTGTACTCCTCTTGACATACCAAAAAACAGTCTAAGGAAACTACTCCAAGCTTGTACTAAAGAGGCACCCTTCTTGAGCCCGGATGGACACATGTATAAGCAAGTAGATGGGGTTGCCATGGGTTCTCCCCTAGGTGTCCTGTTTGCAAACTTCTACATGGGTACCATCGAGCAAAAAGTCTTAGTCGACATGAACTTGAAACCGGCCATATACTGCAGGTATGTTGACGACATTTTTACACAGGTACCTGATGTCAGACATCTGCAGGAGCTGAAGGAGGCATTTGAGCAGAATTCTGTGTTGCGTTTCACTTACGAGATGGAGAAGGATGGGAAGCTGCCCTTTCTAGATGTAACAGTCATGGAAAGGAGCGGAGTTTTCCACACTGCAGTCTACACTAAGGAAACAAACATAGGAATGTGCCTGAATGCCAACAGCGACTGCCCGCACAGGTACAAGAAGAGTGTTGTTAACGCTTATGTCGACCGTGCTCTCAGCCACAGCTCAGAATGGAAGCAAGTCGACGAAGAACTATGTAGGGTAAGGCAGGTCCTAGTCAACAACGGTTTCTCCAATGGTTTTGTGGAAGACATCATAAGAAGGAAAGTGAAACGCCATGCAACCTCTGAAGAGACAATTAACACAACACCTATACCCCCTATTAGACTGTTTTACAGGAACTTCTTTTCCACAGCCCATAAAATGGAGGAAAGGGTCCTGAAAGATATTGTCAGTAGAAACGTTATCCCTACAGACAAAAATCAAAAGATACAACTGACGATTTACTATAAAACCAGAAAAACGGCCAGCCTACTAATGAGAAACTCTCCAGACACAAAGCAGAACGCTTTAAAAGAGACCAACGTCGTCTTTGTCTTCAAATGCCCTCTTGGGGACTGTAAGCCTCATAAAACCCAGTATATAGGCAAGACAACAACATCTCTTTCCAGGCGTTTAACGATGCATAAGCAACAGGGCTCCATTAAGGAACATATAATCTCTTCCCACAAACAAACCATCACCAGAGAAATCTTAGCAAACAACACAGAAATCATCGATAGATACAGCGATAGCAGGCGGCTAGACGTCTGCGAGGCACTACACATTAAGAAGTCAACACCAGCAATCAACAGCCAATTAATGCACAACTATATTCTACCCACCTCAAGACTCCACTCCAATATAGAAGCATCAAGAAATATGGACCAATAGGCTTTCTACAATTACTTCCATTTAATACCCATTGTTTCATGTTCTGTCTTGTGTTTGAATTTAATACCCATTGTTGAAAGTTTGTTTTCACCTCATCCACCTCACCCAAATGTAGATATAAACTCGAAGATGTGCAAGCTCTATTCAGTTTCAGTTGTGTGTTTGTAAACTAAAGTCTTTGAAAATGTAATAAGTTTTACGAAACGCGCTCAAGTGTCGCGTCAGACTAGAAATAAAAATGAATTTTGGAGAATTGATCTTTGAATTACCATCAACAGTGAAAAGAAACGTAAGAAAGATAGAGAAAATTCGTGTTAGAATTATTAATCTTACTTTTTCGGTCATATTTAATAATATATGTCTACAGGAAAGACTGCTACCAAAATATACTAATATATATATATATATATATAATATGTGTGTGTATATTTATATATATGTATATAATTATAAATTATATTTATAATTATAAAATTACCATTATAAAATATGACAGTTCTTGTGGGGTTGGAGACCACGTGCCTGGGGATAGACTCACTACATTTTGCAGGTAAATTAATTATGAAGTAAGAACATCAAGTCATTATGGATATATCACTTGGAAGGGATAGATATGGGATAGGATGGAGGTAAGGAATTAAATCATATACAATAATATATAATAATTTAAATATATATATAATAATATATAATATTTTAATTATATATATATTAATATATAATATTTTAATTATATATATAATAATATATAATATTTTAATTATATATATAATAATATATAATAATTATATATTATTATATATTATCATTTGGAGAGGGGGGCCTGCTGCAAGGGTAACGCTTCTCTTTCATGTCGACCTACCCAGACTTTGCACCCTGGAAAGGACACTCCAGCCTCGCCTCACAGCGTCGAAACAAGACAGGAAGCGACAGTCCACCGGTTTTAAGTCTTCTGCTCGATTTGCGAAGAGTGTGACGCCAGGGGTTGCTCCCGACGGTGGGAGGGGTCATCGTGCCCCACTGGGCAGCTACTGCCCGCCTCAAGCTGGGCAAACCCCAGCCAATAAGGTGTTGCCTGGCCACGGTCCGTTAACCTTACTGGGTGCGTGGGGTTTAGGGTGAAAACCGACAAGTGGACCAACAACTTTGCACCAAGCAACTCCAAATCCAGAAAGAAAATATCAACTGCCCTTAAGCTGGTCACATGGAACGTCAGGACACTGACACCAGGCTTCTCTGACGACCTGCAAGAAATCAACGACGCCCGAAAAACAGCAATCATCGATAGGGAGCTGAACAAAGTGCATATGGATATTGTTGCTCTCCAAGAGACCAGGCTCCCAGGATCAGGATCTGTGAGAGAGAGGACCTTCTCTTTCTGTCAAAGAAAACCTCCAAATGAAACCAAAGAACATGGTGTGGGATTTGCCGTCAGAAATGCACTATTGGGGCACATTATACCACCGACAGAGGAGAACCGAACGAATTTTGTCTCTCCAACTGCACTTCCAAGCAGGACCAGTCAGTGTAATTAGTTCATATGCACCAACCCTGACTTCTCCAGCAGAGGCGAAGGAAAAATTCTACAATGACCTCAGTAGAGTCATTGCGAGAATCCCTGTAAAAGAGTCACTGTTCATCCTCGGCGACTTCAATGCCGATCAAAACTTTTGGACCACTTGTCTGGGTCAATTCGGCATAGGGAGGATGAATGAGACCGGGCAACGTCTGCTAGAACTCTGCTGCCTTCATGGTCTCTGTGTCACCAACACGTTCTTTGGCACAAAGCCTCAACACAGAGTCTCTTGGAGACACCCCAGATCCAAGCACTGGCACCAGCTTGACCTGATTCTTACCATGACACAGGTCATGGGACAAGGAGTGGACTCCCCACCTGATATCGGCATCTCCGATTACAAACTGAAAAATGTTCACGACTTCGTGTACCTGAGCTCCATAATCTCTGACTCCTCCGCTCTCGACACGGAGCTAAACAATCGCATCGGTAAGGCATCTACTACCATGTCCAGACTGACAATGAGAGTGTGGGCCAACAATAAGCTGCCCGAGTACACATTGATCCAGGTTTACAGAGGCTGTGTCCTGAGCACTCTCCTCAACCTGTCCCCTTAAAAAGAACGTCGCTTTTGGCCGTTTGCCCGTATGGCCGAATTTGGACGTAATTTGAAAATGAAAAAAAAAATGAAAATAAATTTGGGATTTTTTTTTTCAACAACAGTAAGTTAAGGGTCCTCTGATAGGTTAGGTGGGCAGGAAATTCTCATAAAGTTTCAAAACGTTATAATAAACGTTAATTTAAAGTGTCCTCTTATAACCTCTGCGCGTACGCCGGACGACTCAAATAGAAAACGGAACAGAACGTCACTTTTGTGAGTCGATTTCATTTCAAATTACGTCCAAATTTGGCCATAGCGCGCATACGAGCGAAAAGTGACGTTATTTTTAAGAGGACGGGTTGCTCTCCTATATGGCAGTAAGTCTTGGACACTTCACGCCCGTCAGGAAAGAGAGCTGAACGCCTGCCACATGTGCTGCCTCCGATATATCTTGGACATCACCTTGGCAGGACAAGGTGACAAACAACAATGTCCTGGGGAAAGCAAGAATCACCAGCATGTACACAATGCTGAAGCAGAGACGAATGCGCTAGCTCGGGCACGTTGTGCGAATGGGCGACGGCAGGATCCCCAAGGATCTCCTGTATGGAGAGCTGAGGCAGGGAAAGCGTCCAACAGGCAAGCCCCAGCTACGGTACAAAGACGTATGCAAGAGGGACCTGAAAGTCATGGACGTCGATCTTGCTACATGGGAAACACTGACTGCAGACCGTTCAGCCTGGGGGCATACCAGGAACCAGGAGCCAGGAGCCAGCAACCAGGAACAAGGAGCCAGCAACCAGGAACAAGGAACCAGGAACCAGGAACCAGGAACCAGCTCAGTGGTACGAGGTCCTATACAAAAGAATAGTTCCCCCTTACTGTGGTAGAGCACATCACCCCAGCCTCCTGTGTGGATAGTGCTTTTGGTAACTATGGGCACCATAGTACAAATATTAACTTACTAAAAATAGATATAGTAGAACTTTGTAAAATTCACTTTCATTGAGTCCAAAAAAATAACCTAAAAAAATACCTTAAATATTCGTAGGCCTAGTATAACATGCTAGGAACTATATTAGGCCTCAGATAGCATGTATTAGGCCTAGGAAGGTTAGGTTAGGGTAGTTTAGTTGTCTTTGCGACATATATAGAAAATCGTTTTCCGGTTTGTCCAATTTCAATTGTACCGATTTGTACTTTCTAATTGTGTTGTACGTCGGTATATGTACTATGGTCCTCATACTTCCTGTAGGTGCTATCAAAACAAAACGATTGGCTGAGAACTGCGACTTGAGAATCCTTCGACGCCTGAGGAAGAATCGTGTTTTATGGGAGTACGGGCAAATTATGTACAGCAGAAAATTTCTGGTAATTTCCAGATTTAGTTTTCCCGATATCAGTGAATAATGGTTCATATTACTTTAAGAAAAAAAAAAGTGAAAAGTGTGTTTTGGAAATATTTAGCTGTGTAGCTGGCGGCCAGTGCCAGAAATGGTCGTGGGGGTCTGAATGTGGCCCTGGCACGCTGTTCCCTTTTGAATTGTGGCGACTCCCACCAGCCTATGTTCATCCCGAACACCAGACCATTCCCTCTGCCAATTTGCGTGAGGCTAGTCCCAAGTTTATGGCCTCCGATTTTATTTACTCACATTCAATCAGACAGACAGACATTCTCGCTTCTAGTACAGATGTATGAATGTATAATGCATGAGTGTTTATGAATAATTGAATATTAAATATATATAATAAAATCTTATATCAAAAAGTGTAAAGATATTGCACGTAAAATATAGAAAACATTAATTTGAAAATGAAGACAAATGGTGAAGAATAATTACCAAGGTTGCCGAACCACATGTGAGCGAGCTCGTGGGCGACGACGGAGGCGACCCGCTGCTTGTTGTAGGAGGAGGAGCCCCGGGCGTCGTAGAGCAGGTTCACCTCCCTGTAGGTGATCAGTCCCCAGTGTTCCATCGCCCCGGAGATGAAGTCCGGGATGGCTATCATGTCTGCACACACATAAACACCACAACAAGTGAAGATATCTATGTCTACATGTCTATGTCCTCTTGCCAGGCCTAGCTAGCACCTGTCCTCATGCCCTCAGGCTCACCACCAACCTAGACAAGGCTGTATCTTGAATGTCAACATTTACTTGCTATTCTTTCCCCACAACACAAGTACTTGTAATATTTGTAAACATTTGTAGTGTGTTCACCGTGAACTGTAGCTTGACCCGTTGGACTCAACCATTTTCTTTCAGACACCCAAGACAAACTTTTGGGATCGCTATAGGCCGCTGTATCATGTGTCCTCTCCACCCCACAATGTGTCCTCTCCAGCACACCATGTGTCCTCTCCAGCACACTATGTGTCCTCTCCAGCACACCATGTGTCCTCTCCAGCACACCATGTGTCCTCTCCAGCACACCATGTGTCCTCTCCAGCACACTATGTGTCCTCTCCACCACACCATGTGTCCTCTCCAGCACACTATGTGTCCTCTCCAGCACACTGTGTCCTCTCCAGCACACCATGTGTCCTCTCCAGCACACCATGTGTCCTCTCCAGCACACTATGTGTCCTCTCCAGCACACTATGTGTCCTCTCCACCACAAAATGTGTCCTCTCCAGCACACTATGTATCCTCTCCAGCACACCATGTGTCCTCTCCAGCACACCATGTATCCTCTCCAGCACACTATGTGTCCTTTCCAGCACACCATGTATCCTCTCCAGCACACTATGTATCCTCTCCAGCACACCATGTGTCCTCTCCAGCACACCATGTATCCTCTCCAGCACACTATGTGTCCTCTCCAGCACACCATGTATCCTCTCCAGCACACAATGTGTCCTCTCCAGCACACCATGTGTCCTCTCCAGCACACTATGTGTCCTCTCCAGCACACCATGTGTCCTCTCCAGCACACTGTGTCCTCTCCAGCACACCATGTGTCCTCTCCAGCACACTATGTGTCCTCTCCAGCACACTATGTGTCCTCTCCAGCACACTGTGTCCTCTCCAGCACACCATGTGTCCTCTCCAGCACACCATGTGTCCTCTCCAGCACACTATGTGTCCTCTCCAGCACACTATGTGTCCTCTCCACCACAAAATGTGTCCTCTCCAGCACACCATGTATCCTCTCCAGCACACCATGTGTCCTCTCTAGCACACCATGTATCCTCTCCAGCACACTATGTGTCCTTTCCAGCACACCATGTGTCCTCTCCAGCACACTATGTGTCCTCTCCAGCACACCATGTGTCCTCTCCAGTACACTATGTGTCCTCTCCAGTACACTATGTGTCCTCTCCAGCACACCATGTGTCCTCTCCAGCACACTATGTGTCCTTTCCAGCACACCATGTGTCCTCTCCAGCACACTATGTGTCCTCTCCAACACACCATGTGTCCTCTCCAGTACACTATGTGTCCTCTCCAGCACACCATGTGTCCTCTCCAGTACACTATGTGTCCTCTCCAGCACACCATGTGTCCTCTCCACCACACCATGTGTCCTCTCCAGCACACCATGTGTCCTCTCCACCACACCATGTGTCCTCTCCACCTCACATCTGAGGACAACTGTGTCTCACCTTTACTCTCACTATATGAACATTACGAACAATAGTGAACATTGTTCACAATATTGAACTTTGAGAACAATTCAATACATTAAGAACATTAGTGAACATTGAGTACCATAGCAGTGAATTAAAGGTAAAGTTGGACAAAGTGAGATAGCAAGAACACTGACTCAAGAAGGAGAGTAAGAAACTGTTTCTTAAGGATAAGAATGGATAAGAATGGGAAGCATTTTCTCATGGTGAAGAATAAGACACTACACAACCCACTGGAGAGAGAAAATGATCAAGACGACAACATGGATTAAGATGATCAAGACGACAATAAGGATTAAGATGATCAAGACGACAATAAGGATTAAGATGATCAAGACGACAATATGGATTAAGATGATCAAGACGACAATATGGATTAAGATGATCAAGACGACAATATGGATTAAGATGATCAAGACGACAATATGGATTAAGATTATCAAGACGACAATATGGATTAAGATGATCAAGACGACAATAAGGATTAAGATGATCAAGACGACAATAAGGATTAAGATGATCAAGACGACAATAAGGATTAAGATGATCAAGACGACAATATGGATTAAGATGATCAAGACGACAATATGGATTAAGATGATCAAGACGACAATATGGATTAAGATGATCAAGACGACAATAAGGATTAAGATGATCAAGACGACAATAAGGATTAAGATGATCAAGACGACAATAAGGATTAAGATGATCAAGACGACAATAAGGATTAAGATGATCAAGACGACAATAATGATTAAGATGATCAAGACGACAATAAGGATTAAGATGATCAAGACAACAATATGGATTAAGATGATCAAGACGACAATAAGGATTAAGATGATCAAGACGACAATATGGATTAAGATGATCAAGACGACAATGTGGATTAAGATGATCAAGACGACAATATGGATTAAGATGATCAAGACGACAATATGGATTAAGATGATCAAGACGACAATAAGGATTAAGATGATCAAGACGACAATAAGGATTAAGATGATCAAGACGACAATAAGGATTAAGATGATCAAGACGACAACATGGATTAAGATGATCAAGACGACAATAAGGATTAAGATGATCAAGACAACAATATGGATTAAGATGATCAAGACGACAACATGGATTAAGATGATCAAGACGACAATAAGGATTAAGATGATCAAGACGACAACATGGATTAAGATGATCAAGACGACAATAAGGATTAAGATGATCAAGACGACAATAAGGATTAAGATGATCAAGACGACAACATGGATTAAGATGATCAAGACGACAATAAGGATTAAGATGATCAAGACGACAATATGGATTAAGATGATCAAGACGACAACATGGATTAAGATGATCAAGACGACAATAAGGCTTAAGATGATCAAGACGACAATAAGGATTAAGATGATCAAGACGACAATAAGGATTAAGATGATCAAGACGACAATATGGATTAAGATGATCAAGACGACAACATGGATTAAGATGATCAAGACGACAATAAGGATTAAGATGATCAAGACGACAACATGGATTAAGATGATCAAGACGACAATAAGGATTAAGATGATCAAGACGACAATATGGATTAAGATGATCAAGACGACAACATGGATTAAGATGATCAAGACGACAATATGGATTAAGATGATCAAGACGACAATAAGGATTAAGATGATCAAGACGACAATAAGGATTAAGATGATCAAGACGACAATAAGGATTAAGATGATCAAGACGACAACATGGATTAAGATGATCAAGACGACAATAAGGATTAAGATGATCAAGACAACAATATGGATTAAGATGATCAAGACGACAACATGGATTAAGATGATCAAGACGACAATCAGGATTAAGATGATCAAGACGACAATAAGGATTAAGATGATCAAGACGACAACATGGATTAAGATGATCAAGACGACAATAAGGATTAAGATGATCAAGACGACAATATGGATTAAGATGATCAAGACGACAACATGGATTAAGATGATCAAGACGACAATAAGGCTTAAGATGATCAAGACGACAATAAGGATTAAGATGATCAAGACGACAATAAGGATTAAGATGATCAAGACGACAATATGGATTAAGATGATCAAGACGACAACATGGATTAAGATGATCAAGACGACAATAAGGATTAAGATGATCAAGACGACAACATGGATTAAGATGATCAAGACGACAATAAGGATTAAGATGATCAAGACGACAATATGGATTAAGATGATCAAGACGACAACATGGATTAAGATGATCAAGACGACAATAAGGCTTAAGATGATCAAGACGACAATAAGGATTAAGATGATCAAGACGACAATAAGGATTAAGATGATCAAGACGACAACATGGATTAAGATGATCAAGACGACAATAAGGATTAAGATGATCAAGACGACAATATGGATTAAGATGATCAAGACGACAACATGGATTAAGATGATCAAGACGACAACATGGATTAAGATGATCAAGACGACAACATGGATTAAGATGATCAAGACGACAACATGGATTAAGATGATCAAGACGATAATATGGATTAAGAATATCAAGAAGATTAAGGTGGTAAGATAACAAATAACTAAGATAACAACTGGTGATTTTAGGTGTTGTATCTTACAGAAGGAGGAAGTAGAGGTGAGAGACGGGAGGAAGTAGAGGTGCGTCACTTGCGTACCGTCACCAGTACACAGTACACAGTACACAGTACACAGTTAACAAGCACAATTCCCTCTACTGGCAAGCAGTTCCCTGCACTAACACAAACTAACTGTATTGAAAGAGAATTAACTGTTCTAAAATGTAATTAATAATATTAAAAATATGCATCTGAACTAGAGTACAAATTACTGTACCGAAAGTAATTATCAGTAGAAAAAGATATGTTATTCCACAGACCTTGTTTGG